TTTTTTTTTTTTTTTTTTACTTCAAAAACAATTTTAACCTTTTTTTATAAAAATAATAATAATAACTTTGAAAAAAACACCTTAAAAAAATATTCATGAAATTTAAAAAATAACATTAAAAAATTTAGTTATAATCTATAAAATGTCACTAGACTTTTTTCATCTATATATATTAGATTTTTTTAAAAAAAAACTTTTATTCTAAGATTAAAGAAAATTTGATGGGTATTCTTTTAAAGATAGCACTAATAATAAGAATATTTTTTAACTTGTATTAATAAAAATTTTTAAAATTCAAAATTGAATATTTTTTAAATAAAGTATTAATGATATCTATAAAAAAAAAAAACTAAGGATAACATTATTTTTTTAAACAACGTTAAAAGTTTAAGAATATTTTTATTTAAAACTCGAAATATTATTAAAATTTTAAAAATATTATTAAGATTTAGAAAAATCGAATATATTTTTTTTATTTAAAAAAATGGGCATAAGTATCCAACATTTGACCATTCATTGGAACGCTAAACCAGCGGAAGAAAGGTCAAACTGCAATTTAGTTGGGTTATTAATTAGCCTAAAACCGTATCCCTACGCCTAGGATTTGACAACTTGAACAACAATTAAAAAGGTGCAATAACGCCATTTAATTAAGAAACAAGGAAATACCCACGATATTCCCAAAGCTTTTTGTGCTCTTAAATTGCTCAAACCATTGGTGGGTTCACAAATTGCTATCTAAAAAACTCAGCCCTCCCCATATCTTCACAAGCTTACAACCCTCTGTACATTATGTGCTATCTCGTTGAGTGCAAGACGTGCAAGAAGACCTCCTGGAAGGGCTGTGGCAATCACCTGCCTGATCTCTATAAGCGAATTGAGCAGGGAAAGCACTGCACTTGCCGCCCCTGGCCCGGCGTCATCGTGCCACTTGAAGATGCTGCTGACATGAAAACCGCACCGCCATTGATGGCTAACCCGAAATCATCTGTCCCTCAAGGTACGCCGCTACACATATCTCAACTCAACTCAACTCGTTCAATTTAGATTGTGGTAAAATCAATCGAAATTTGGCTTCGTCAAAACATTGACGAAAATAAAATTATTACAAAGCATGGCATTTTAGTTTTCTTATTAAAAAAAATTAGCCAATCACAAAGAAATTATTATAAACATGTTTTTGTAAATAAAAAATAACGACCAATAAAAGATAAATAAATATCGTTACGTGTTTTGTAGGTACTGAAACTTGGAGTTCGTTTGTGCAGGTAAGACAGTTGATAAGGAAGCTTAGGAAAACGTGGAGTGGCTAAGTTAGAGAGGTTTGAGTCATTTAAGCAATTTCATATGAATTATTGTTATATAAATAAGGACGGGTTTGTAAGGGATGCAATCGCATCCCATTTTTATTTAGATTATTTTCTCGTTTAAAGTTTGTCATTCGAATAAAGAAACGTGCTAGGGATGTTATCGCATCTCATTTCTTAATCGAGTAGTAATTTTATTCTTTTGTGTTTTTTATGGCATGAATATATATATATATATTTTGTATAGGAGTTGTTTTAGGGATATTTATTATGGTAGAGATTATGAATGGAAGAAAGGCACTAAATTCCTAAAGGTCATCCATTCAATGTTGTTTTCTTGTTCGTAATATCACTGATCAACATGATTTCACATCGATCAACTACACAACAAATTAATCTCAGTAATGACTCTAAATTTCTCATTGATCAACACGATTTCTTAAGCACGTGTTATCATTCAGCATACACTGATAATCAAACCGACGGTATGGCCATTTACGTGGTTGGCCTAAGCTGAAGTTACTATGCCCTCCTGATGCTATTTTAACGTTGCTCTCTAAAATTTAACTTTGACTAATGAGTCCAGCATCATAAATTAGAATTCTACTATTGGAATTGACTAGCCTAGTTTTTTTCATAAAATAATTTAAACTAAGCCTAATTCTGCATAAAATAATTTAAACAAGCTAAAAGGTAATCACATTAACCTTAAACGCTTCTGAATAATTGAAATTAGGTAGGAAGGATCCGAGTGTATCTTACCCAAGCTTGATCAGCCAAAATGTCGGCATTGAGCCGTTCGAAAATGTATTCTTCGAGATGCTTAGAACCATTCAAGTGGAATGATAAAATAAAGTGAAAGGCTTTCCTTGTATTATGGAGGTGAACCTACACTTCTCAACTCTAAGCAATGCTAGACATTTCCTTTCCTTTTTTTTTTTCCAAAATTTTGGGTTATTACATAGCATCTCTAAAAATTGTTGGCCAATAGAAATGGGATTGAAATAATTAAGATGTTGTTATTTGTTCACTCACTATCTCTAATACATCTTCTCATCATGTCATCTCTGTTGGATGAAAGTCTCACATAGGCTAATTTAGGGAATGATCATACATTTATAATAAAAGAATATTATCTCTATAGAACTCAATGGACAATATCATACAGGAAAACTCTCTCCAGTGGCATGAGGCCTTTTGGGGAACTCCAAAGCAAAGCCCAGGAGAGTTTAATGGACAATATCATACCAATGGAGAGTCATGAGAGCTTAATGGACAATATCATACCAGTGTAGAGAGTCCTTGAGAGTCCTTATTCCTAACCGGACAATATAACTTATTAAATCTTGTCAAACAAAAGACTCAAAATCAGCACATTCGTGGCTAACTCAAGCACTAAAGTAGGTGGTTATTCCCTCCCGAACTGACTTATTAGTGTATAAAAGGACCCAAAAGCAGTAAAGTTGCATACACTTTCGATAACACTCGAAACCCCCACCCTTCTCCATCCACATCCACCCATTACCCACCATGCTTCTCTTTGAGCTTGAAGGTTTCGGCCCTTTTTTATATGCACTCTCCATGATGCATAGACTCCATGATATAGCCGACATTAAATCCACTCCATCAAGCTTCACCATAATAATCCCCCAAAATTTCATTCGCTGCGCCGTAGCCCTCAAAATTGACCGCCAATTCTTCAACCAATTTTCGTGCAACCAAAGTCACTATTTCACAACTTCCCTTACAGACCTGGTCACGAACTTGGCCGACATGGAGCGTGAAGGCTCTAATTTACTCACCCTCTCCTTTGCGCGATTCCAACCTCACATGGTCCTTGAATTTGAGAAACATGGTTCGAATATTTGTCTAAATTAATGGATCTTGAATTCTCCCCATTTCTTGTGTTCTTATTATTGCTAATTCTTTCTTGATATCTAGTTTTCAACGAAGTACACGATGTGTCAACATTAGAGATACCCATATCCATACCTTCATACGGGCAGGATGTAGGCGAAATTGACTATTCTTCCTTTGTCTCTATTGAATTAGATCTCTTTAAAACCCTTGCAAGATGGTTAGATAACACTTATGAAGGTAATTTCTTCCCTCTTTCTCATATTTCTTGAAGAATGTAAGATTTTGTAATGGAATTCATTTGAGTTTTTGTGGTTTTGTCATAGCTTATGTTACTATTTCGAGTTCAAAAATTTCCTTCTTTGTTGGGCGTAGTCAGTTCACTCTTGATGCACAGGTATCTTGCATTGACATCCATGATGCTTGATTGTTCAAACCATAGATATCAATGAGGTGTTTAATAATAATCATGTTTAACAGGAAGGAGATTGCATAATTGGCGGCGTTGCAATTGGACAAGAAATTAACTCCTCAATGACTCTCTATCCTATGCAATTCTATTGCAACCTCGTATCTGATAGGTTATGGTTATTCAAATCCATTGGGTCCAACTGTCTAATTCTCATTGCTCCTTCGGGATTGTATGCTCACTTTTCCTCGTATTATTTTCCCGATGATTTCTAATATGGGAAATTCTCGTACTCTACAAAAATTACAATATATACCATTTGATCTTCTTTTTTCTCTTCATAATTCGTTAATTAAACACATTTGGGATGAAACATAATTTCTTTAGGAGTTAATCTTGATCCTCCAAGATAATTGTAACGACCAACGTTTCGAGATTTTGAATCACGAACCTATTGACATAAGTTTTAAAAATTCTCGATAAATAATGTACTTTAATTAAATAGAGTGACACCATGGAATTCTAACGTTTAAAAATCCAAATGCATAAGTAACCTAAGCACTTAAATATAAAATATAACTTAGAAAGATTATAATAAATGTTCAAATACAAAATCAAGATATAGTGGAGGTCTTTCTATAGCCACATGGCTCTCGAGTATAATAATTGTTCGTGGTTAGTAGATATTGATTGTAGTTATGGCACTGGAACATAATGGATCTTTTCCTTGGATTAAAATTGATTTGTCACTAAACTTCACATTTTCAATTAACTTCTCATCAATCTCCTTGAACTTTTCTCGATCAATGACCATGTGGTTGTTCGCTTCGTTGTCTACGCACCCTGTTGTTCTCCACTGGATCTTCTCCATTTTCAAGGAGGTTTGTCATAACCTTCTCTTTATTAAACATCCATCAACAGGCTAGACATCTTCTTAGTTAACATCAATGCAGGCTCTTGGTCATGCATGAATGTGAGGTTTACTTCTCATTGTGGTTCTTGTTCGGCACTCTATTGCATAATGTTTATATTCTTCACAAGAGTAACACTTTATCATGCTCTCAGCTTCTCGAGGTTAATATATTTATGATTTTGTGAGAGATTATCACGACCTCCTTTGTTACACGTCCTCAGCCAGCCCACGACCTCTGATTTTCATGTTGTGGCTGTCGCGTCCCTTCACACTTTAAAAAGAAGAATCAACCACATTTTTCTTTTTCATTTGTGTGAGTCACTCTTGATGTGTGAGTAAGAGATGTTCCTCTTCTTCCCTATCGTTGTAGCTATAAAGTCTCTCATCATTGGCCTTTAAACGACCAACGGCCTCCTCAACCAACATGTTCTTAAGGTCACTGAATTACTTAATAGAGATAACAATTTTCATGAATCTCGTGGGGACAACTTGAAGAAAATTTTCGATGACGAAGATCTCCTCCACCTTGTCATCAAACAAACAAATGTCAGTGATGATCATCCTCAATTTCATGAAAAATTCATCCACCGACTAATCACCCTTCATGTGAATTGCCTCGAAATAGCCCTTCAAAGTTTGCACCTTTACTTTCTTGACATGTTCTATAACCATATGTATTGTTTATGTTGTCTCCCACATTGCCTTTGTAGAGTTCAATGCCAATATAAGAAAAACATCATTCGAGAAAAACATCCTTCGAGACTGCTTGATAGATGGCAATAAGAGTCATCTTGTCCTTACACTCATTGATATCAACCAAGCTTGATGGCGTCCCACATGCATTGTGCCCGTAAATTTACACTCATTTTATCGACCATGTGCATAGTTACTCTCTGTGAGTAACGAAGCATTACACTACTCTTCTTTCCACTCTTTATCATTGTACATCTCTTCTTGCAACTTTTTACAGTGTCGACATTTATTTTGGCATCCTAACTCTGATACCAGATAGTGGTTTTGACCCTCAATTGAAGTACACCGAACGAATAACCGAAGAAGAAAGAAATACAATAACTTTAGGAGAGAATTTTTTTGTACTCAAGAACTATTAAACACAATACTTCGCTAACATATAATAGAACTCGCACACTAACCTAATAACAAGGCATATAATCATGAATCATTGCCAAGGCTCTATATAATATGCATAACTAAGTAACCTAACATACTTTCCCATTCTAAGGTTTATATGTATATTTATTCAGTCACACATAAGTGTATCACATACTAATACTAATGTGCTTTATCAAGTAAATATTCAATCAGGTCAACTACATATCAACCGTACATTGAACCTCATAGACTCTCGCATTCTCCTTGTAGACTTTCATTGCTTCACATTCTTATCCTAATAGGTTACCACGAGTTTTTTTTTTTTTTTTTTTTTTTTTTTTTTTTTTTTTTTTTTTTTTTTTTTTTTTTTTTT